TCACCAGGAGCTCCTTCACTTTGTCACCATGTGCCCACTAGAAGACATCTTAAAACAGCAGCTCTGGAGGCATGTGACAGAAGGCAGGGTAGTTGGCCTGCCCATCTCGGGAAGGACTTGTGTCCAAGCGCCTGGCTCTATAAGCCCCGCTCACAAATTGTTTTGATAAAGCAGAACAAAGCTAGGTCTCTAGCTACACTAACTAGAGGAGCCACGCAGTCCTTGGCAACTCTCCAGAACTAACACGTTACCTCTACGTTTACCCCGTTCATATCCATTCCTTACACCCAAGCCAGGGAGCAAGGCTTTGTAGGTGGTCCTTGCTCACAATCACTTCTCACTGGAAAGTGCTTTTCCTCTACACTAGTTTTTATTTCAAAGGCTGTCTTCCAGAAAGATGAACTCCACAAAGTCATGTTCTGGTCTGCTTGCCACGGCTTTGACAAACTCCCTGAGGTGATCGGCTTACAGGGAGGACAGGGTTAACTTTGGCTCAGGGTTTCAGGGGTTTCTGTGTGGGGTCCTTTGGTTCTACTGCTTTTGGTGAGGCAGAGCATCAGGTAGGAAATGCATGAGCTGCTCACCTTAGGGTGGCCAGGGAGCAAAGAGAGAGAGAAGGGTCAGCATCCTAAGATCCCATTTCATAGGTTCCACCATCACCCAGCAGGGCCTGAAGCTAGAAACGCAGTTTTAATACAGGGCTCTTGAGGTACACTTCAAGTCTAAGTCACAGCCTGCTTCCTAATTTAACATACTAACTCCAGGCTGTATTGCTTCTTCATCTTGTGGCTCATGAATGTTCCTTTTTATGTGATGGACAGATTTCTATTTTTTTATTTAAATTAGAAACATGTCAATCCCAGTTCCTTCCCCCTCCTCTCCTCCCCTGCCCACACCGGCCCTTATCCCATCCCCTTTCTGCTCCCCAGGGAGGGTGAGACCTTCCATGGGGGATCTTCAAAGTCTGCCATATCATTTGGAGCAGGGCCTAGGCCCTCCCCCATGTGTCTAGACTGAGAGAGTATCTCTCTATGTGAAATGGACTCCCAAAGTCCATTTGTATAATAGAGATAAATACTGATCCACTACTAGAGGCCCCATAGATTGCCCAGGCCTCCTAACTGACACCCACATTCTTCAGGGCGTCTGGATCAGTCCTATGTTGGTTCCCAGCTATCAGTCTGGGGTTCATGAGCTCCCTCTTCTTCAGGTTAGCTGTTTCTGTGGGTTTCTCCAGCCTGGTCTTGACCCATTTGCTGATCTCTCTTCCCTCTCTGCAACTGGATTCCTGGAGTTCAGCTCAGTGTTTAGCTGTGGGTGTCTGCTTCTACTTCCATCAGCTTCTGGATGAAGACTCTATGATGGCATATAAGGTAGTCATCAATCTCATTATAGGGAAAAGGCATCTAAGGCAGCCTCTCCACTATTGCTTAGATTGTTAGTTGGGGTTATCTTTGTAGAACTCTGGACATAAATTTTGGAGATCAGTCCTCTGTCAGATGTGAGGTTGGTGAATATCTTTTCCCGTTCTGTGGGCTACCGTTTTATCTTGTTGACTGTGTCCTTTGCCTTAGAGAAGCTTCTCAGTTTCAGGAGGTCCCATTTATCAATTGTCCATCTCAGTGTCCATGCTACTGGTGTTATGCTCAGGAAGTAGTCTCCTGTACCAATTCATTGAAGAGTATCTCCTACTTTCTCTTCTAAGAGGTTCAGTGTGGCTAGATTTATGTTGAGGTCTTTGATCCATTTAGACTTAAGTTTTTGTGCATGGAGATAGACATGGATCTACCTGCAGTCTTCTACATGCCAGCATCCAGTTATTCCAGAAGATGGAGAGATTTCTAAAGCGTATTATAATTCACAATGTTCCTAGAAGGGGGAAGAATGTATCATGCTAAAAAAAACAAAACAATAACAAAAAAGAAAAATCGTATCTTTAATATGCATATAAGTTACACCCTGACTCTTATTATTTAAGTTGCGAGTACATTATCCAATCAAAAAAAAAAAAGAGAATGCCACTTGGGTGAATTGCCCAGACTAGGAACAACAAGATCATCATGAGGTAAAAGAGGAGGAAGAGTGCTGAGCAGCCAGACTCTGCTTTATGAGCCGGGTTCTCCTTGTTCGTCAGTGACAACCAGGGTCAGCCTCCAGTCTTTTTAAAAACTAATTTAAAACTTATCCCTTGAAATGTTAACAATGTGTGCAATGTATTTGGATTGTATCCACCCCCAATCCCACTGTCTTCCTCCAACGTCTGTTAGGCTTCCTTTGAAGCATAGGAAGTGACTGTTGTCATCTATGGTTATTAATATAAAATGAAGATAACTTGGCCTCCCTGGAAATGGAACTTCTGAACTTTGTAATGCCATAATTACAAATTGGCAGGATTGCACACACATACACACACACACACACACACGCACACACACAGACACACACACACACAGACACACCACATACACACACACACACACACATACACACACACAGACACACACACACACAGACACACCACATACACACACACACACACATACACACACACACATACACACACACACATACACACACACATACACACACACACACACACATACACACACACATACACACACACACACACACATACACACACACACATACACACACACACACATACACACACACACATACACACACACACATACACACACACATACACACACATACACACACACACACATACACACACACAGACACACACACACATACACACACACACACACACACACGTTCCTACTCTCATCCTTTCTGCCCAAACCAGCGATTTGATAATATTTCAAGGCCTATAAGCCTATATTAAATATTTAATAAGTAAATTCAGGAGCAGGTGCTTACTTAATGCCACTTGATAAATTCTGAAATAGAATATTTCTGTACCATTGTACCTCACTGAATTGAGCATGAGTTTACATACTGGGGGTTTCTATGAAATTGCATATTTTTGTAAATACTATGTTGCTTTTGAGCTGAAAATAATGATTTATGTTTTCAGTTACTGAAAAACTGGGGTTATGTCCAAACCATACCATATGAGTTCATAATAAAAAGATGACTGATGACTTATTTTATCTATTCATCTTGGCCCTTTAATTTGTTTTTTATGTGAGTTCATTGATTCTGGGTTTGCAGAATTGTTATATTGAACTACATGTTTTCTTATTCAGTAATTACTGCTAACTGGATATTTGCTGTCTGCTGTCGCACCTGCCCTCTGGTTTCCCCTTCCTCTGTTTGAAAACTTGTCGATTAGATATCTTCTCGAGGAAAAGAAGGTGGCAGCATCCTTCTGCGGCTGCACGTCCCTAGGGCCTGTGGGCTAAAGTCAGGGCCTGATAACTGTGGGCAGAGAATGTGGTTTGTATGACCGCTAACGGCCAAGGGGAGCAGGGGGGCATGGGGATGGGCATGGGGTGGCGGCCTCAACGCGCGTGGCTTACAGGCTCATGCCTTTTGAACAATTGCTCCCCAGCCAGTGATGTGGCTCTAAAAGACTTCAGGACCCTTAGGAGGTGGAGCCTTGCTGAAGGAAGCAGGTCACTGAGGGCGGCTCTTGGGTGTTTATACTCCAGCACACGTCTTGTTCTCTTTCTGGGGGTGCAGTGTGAACCTCACGGCCTCCGGCTCCTCGGGCGCGCCTCCTTCCATCACAGAATGTGTTGCTCCGAGTAAACCCAAATAGGCCCGTTCTCCCTTGAGTTGCTTTTGTCGGGGTATTTCATTACAACATCCGGGAAACTAGTACTAGTCCAGACCAGACGAGTGAGAGCTAGCTTGTTTTTTTTTCTTTTTTCTTCCAAGCCTCTCTTGGAAAAAGGCTCTTGTGGTGTGCTGAGGAGGGTGTGCATCTTTCAAATTCTCCTTCCCTTCACACCTTGGTTTGCTACCTCAGAGTGGAGAAACAGGAGTACCTGAGAAGCTTTGTTCTGAAGGAAACTTCAATGATGAGTCTGCCATTCAACTCAGGGGCTGTCTATTTAGAAATGTTTACAGTAGATTGCTTCTTAAATTATTGTTTTCAGGTGTGTTTGTATGGCTTTATTTTTATTTTGTGTATGTTACATGCACAGCCTTTGGTTGTTGTTACCAGTTCATACGTTTTTCTATGGTAAATTATCCTTTTTGGGCCATTAGAATTTGGCAACATGACAGAGACATCAAATGTAGTGATCTGCGACTTCTGCTGTACTGTTTTAACCAAGAGCTTGTCACAGCTACTCATCTGTAGCCACACCTTTTCAGTCAGATGTTTTCAATTTGTCTTCCAATATGATGTCGACTTGACTATTCGGCAGATTTATCATTTCGGCTGTCTCCCCTGCCACTCAGTAGGAGGCTTTATATTTTCTCATTTAATCATTGTAGCAGGTTTTACAGTTCTCATAAATCTTCATGAAGTTTCTAACCCTGTCGCTGTGCCAGCCGAGAATGACTTTCTACCTGAAGCCTTTGGGGAACTGGGTGCTGTGGTTTATAGTTCTGATTTAATTAATGCTTTACCTAAGGTAACACTCACCTATGGCACTACATTTTCAACTTGCAATGCACACAGTCTGATTCTGCCCATTGGGGAACATAAAAAGGACAAGACAGGCCTCCTTTTCAACCTCATGTGTGGTCCAGGATCTTAAACACTGACAGCCTGAAGTAGTTACCTAAAATTGTAGGTTTCCCTCTTCCTACTCCCATGGCTATGGTAAAGCCCAAACCTGCTTCACCAGGAAGCCCCCCCTGCTTCTGAACATTCATTGCCTGGGCCTACCATTTCATTCCACCATAATTTATGGTGCCAACAGTTTTGACTGTTAAGTCATCCTGCTCTCACAAAGAGTATTGCTCACATTGTGTGACGAATAAGTTGCTATATACATCAGCATTTGTCTGAGTGGTAGAGCAGGCAGATGATCACTGAGGACATATACTATAATATAAACAACTGAAGAATAAAAAAGGAATGGATATAGAACAAACCTTTATTAGCCCCTCCCCCCCCCACTGCCCAGTCTACAATCTTTGGCAGTATTCATGATACACTCAAACTTGAGGAGGCACTCTGAGTATGTGGTCTAGGGATGCTTCTGTGAAACATGCGTTCACAGAACAATGACTTCTACAATGATTATGTGGCATGTTGTATTCATATTTAAGAGACGGAAACTCGTTGTGAACCTTAGAAAAGGATGCTTGGTAACACTGCAGTGTCTTCCTGAGTGATCGCCTTTCTGTGGCCGGCCACCAACCATTACATAACTGTGAACATGTCACTGTACTTCTGTGAACCTCCATATTCTCTGAAAGTGAAAAAGGTGTACCCAGTGACTCCGAGTACCCTTCCAAACTCAGTGCCCGGCACCACCATTCACTCTCTTAGCAACACAGCCTTGCCATGTCGGTAGTGTCCATCAGTGTCTGCTCAAAGTTCAAGAGCGAAGGGACATCCCTCAAGCCGCTGAAGCCTTCCTGCCTCCTCTCTTGTTTGTAGTCATTGCTTCACTGACATCTGTTCTTTCCATCCTATGGGCAACGGCTTCAGCACTTAACATCTCTGTCCAGCCTTGTCTCCTCGGAAACCCGGTGATGTTTTGGGAGATGATCCAGGAGACAGCATCACACATGAACCTGAGCTATAGGCATCTAAGTGAAATCTTGAGCTGTTTTGCTTATTTCTTTTCTGGATCTATCAATGGAATAAAAATGTACTGACCATCCTCAAACTTTAAAGGTTGTACTTGGTAAGTACAAAGACCCACGAGAAATAGGCATGCCTTCCAGAAACTTCCGACACAGCTGGGGAATGACTCATATTGTATAGCGATATGGAGCCTGTGGAGGCACAGCTGTTTGCTCTTTTCCGGAGAACTTGCACAGTGCTCAGTGAGCACTGATGGAGGACACCAGCACAGACTTTGACACTCCAAGCTTGGGTGGGGATACTAGGATCTAGATCTTTAAAAGGACTTACAATGCCCACTGGCCTTAGAGAGCCAGTATGTGGGTCAGCTTTTAAGCTAAAGCAGCTCTGTCCAGAGCCCAGGGTGTTTTTCAGTAGACAGTTATAATTTTTGTTGGGATCCGACTGATGCCGCACAAATTTAACCCATTTAATCCAATCTACGGATGACCTGCCGTGGATAGGGTTTTAAGAAGATTAAGAGCATTTCCCCTCTTTGATAAATCTTTTCCCCAAATTTCAGCCTTACCAGAGAGTAAGCACCACACAGGAGGGACACTAAAGCAGGAGTCAGCAATGTTGCACTGAGCAAGACAGTCAACAGCACAAACAGCCTCGGTGGAGAACCAACTTTTCATGATGTGACTGGAATGCGGGGTTTCTGTGCGATCATCATTGCCCTTTTCATGTCAGAGCACAAAGATCACCTTTCATCCATCAGCGCCTGTGTTTCCCCTGTCACCAGAGGCAGGTTTCCCTATCTAAAGGGAGCCAGCTGCAAGAGAGTTAATGTCCATTTCAGGAGCACACCCAACCCATGGTAACAGAGTTGGTGTCAATACCCCATTTCCTCTTCCCCTCTGGCAGTGCCCGCTGAAACACATCTCGTGGAACCCTCCAGCAGTATTGCCCGCCAGTTGCCCACAGTAGCGGTGGATAGCCATCTTTATGGGCGTCCTCTCTTCCCTGTCTCTTGTCCCCATCCACATCTCTGCCACCGTTACCGAGGCTATCTGTTTTCTTTGCCTGTGTGTTTAGACTGTCTCACCGTGTGGTCAGGCAGGCTGCAACACACTGTGCAGAGGCTGATGTTGTGTTTGAGGCCTCTCCTTTTAGTCCCGGTGTCCTGAGATGCTAGGCTTGCACCACCAGGCTCAGCTCTTGCAATCCTGCTATGAGCAGACCTCTGCACTCTAATTTTTGTCTCAGGACCTCCTTCTGCTGAGACATTGGGCAAAACTGAGACAAATCTCAATCAAGACATTACAAGACAACTAGGATCAGGCATGTGCAAAGAAGGACCAAACTCATTTTCTCCAGGCATTCCTTAACTGAGAAGAACATTCTGTATGTGCTTTCTGCTGTGGAAATAAACTGGTGGTGATAACGGCAAGAAACATTGAGCTGAAAAATGGCAACAGCAAATTGCTTAATTTTTCTGCTCAAAGTTCTGTCAAACATAATTTAAAGAAAACTATTAGTCAGTTCACTAGCTCTTACCATGCCTTTTCCACGGGTCTCTTCACCAGCTCTATAACACTTCCTTTTCTGTCCCCTGTTGCTTCTGCTGTATTTCTGGGACAGGAAAGCCTGGCAGAGTGGAGAAGCTCTTGGGTCTGCTGGCTCTTGTCTCTGCCTGGCCTTCTTGATACTCTCCACTCTGGATTATTATACTAAGAAGTCAGGAATCCAGTCTTCATTCCCCAGAGTTGCCCTAGAGCCGTGGTTCTCACCTGGAGGACAAGAACCACTTAGGAGACCATGTGGACCTTCACAGGGTTTCCTAAGACAGTCATAAAATGCAGATATTTACATCAGAATTCACAACAGTAGCAAAATGAAGTTTTGAAGTAGCAATGGAGTAATTTTATGGTTGGGAGTCCCCACAACATGAGGAGCTGTACGATAGGGGTTCAGGGTTAGGAAGGTTGAGAACCACTGCCCTAGAGGTTGGCCCATATGTTCACGGCCAAGTTCCTACCTTTAAACTCTGATTGTGCTCTGCTGAATTAGAACGGGATGTGATTCACAGAACAGCGGCTGTGGGGGCTGGGACCAGGTAGACAGTCAGTCAGTGTTAACGCTTCTGCTTCCAACACAAAAACCACGTGGTCAAACAGCTCCCCAGTTCCTCAACCTTCAGCCACATGAGCTGGCCTTCTTCAGGCTCCCTTGCCCACTGTAAAGCAAACGTCACTTTATGGAGAGTCAACAAAGAAAAGCTAAGCTGTGTCTCTGAGTAGCTGCATGTCCACCTTTTAGCTCAGATCAAGTACTATATTTTTATTGTCTACCTTGAAGACACCAACACTATGGGCTTCTCCAGTTCTTCCATCTGGGACACACCCTGGGAGACAGTAACAGCAGATATGAGCTCATGTTTTATTTTTTCTTTCTCATTCTGTCCTAGGAGAGGGAATGAGATATTTTATAAGTGTATCATCAATGGAATGATGGCTAACTCATTCACCAACATCTCACAGTCCAGTCAGCCAGAGCACCTCCCTTCGGCTGAGGGACAAGTATAAATAAAGGCACATGCATAAGCTTTTTTCTCTGGACCACCAGTCCGCAAATAACGACACTGAGACTTACTATTAATTATGAAAGCTCAGCCTTAGCTTAGGCTTGTCCCACTAGGTCTTATAACTTAAATTAACCCATTTATATTAATCTACGTTCTGCCATGTGGCTTTACCCCATCTCCATACTGTCCCTCTTGCTTTTTCAAAGTCTCTGCCCTCCTTCTTCCCAGAGTTCTCTCTCTCTCCAGAAGTCCCGTCTATACTTCCTGTCTAGCTATTGATGATTCAGCTTTTTACTTCACCAATCCCACCAATATATCTTCACAGTGTACAGATGTCCCACAGTTTTCTAAAAAGTCATGCTAAAACCCTGGTTCCTATGGTGGTGGAAGTTTTCCGTGAAGACACTTAGGGAAGTGATTAAAGTCAATAGCGTGCACCCTCCTACAATTGGCTGGTGCTCTCATAAAGGAGACTCTTATGTCTCCCTCCACGTGAGCAGACATATATCTATGAGGAAGTGAGTGCGTCCCAGGCGCCTTTATCAGCCAGCACGTGAACCTTGGGCTTCCAGATCTCAGGATTTAAAAACCACCTCCTTTTTCACCATTTGTTTTAGCTACATACATGGACTAAGGCTGTAGATTATAAACAAGTAAAACTGTACTTCAATGTCTATGTGCATGGATAAATTTCACTCGCCTGGAATTGTATATCAGGAGCCCAGGGTATAAATCAGTAGTAGGAGAAAGTAGCAGGGAGGAAAGACAGCCTGCTACTCACATGAGCAGCCAAGTTTGGTCCCCAGCATCCACTTCAAGTGATCTGCAACTCCCAACTCCAGGAGACCCTCTTCTGGCCTCGGGGAACAGTGCATTCGCACGTGAGCATACACACAGAGACATAGACATGTGTGCATACCCATAGTCAAAATTAATACATAAATATTTAAAATAATGTTAATAATGTTTTTCTTACAGCTTGACAATGAAACAAGTCCATATGTAGAAAGCAATGCACATAGGGCCTAGAGCCTGGCAGATCTCTTCTCATGGGTGCTTGCTTGTTGGAAAGCCCTATGGTTGCTTCCTAAGTGTCGGCTCCCTATGTACACCTGGACTGTGGCATTTGTGGGCATGGTTCTCGCTCATCATACCTTTCTCCTTACCTGGGAAGAACTGCTTGGCTCTGTCTTGAAGTCAGAGCTATCTCCTCTGTGTAATTCAGTTACTTTGTAAGTGGATCCCTTGCCTACTGCTTCTTGAAGGCATTAGGTCTTCTCCAGAGGACGTAATCATTCCAGTGAAGTGAAAGAATAGCCACTGCTTCCCAAATGGCAGCCCACACAAGACTCCTTCTATTAATTACCAGGTACTTTGCAGGTATAATTGTCCAGTAATTGCTTGAGCACATGTAGTGACAAGGTGTGTTTACAAGTCATTGGCTGTGCAATAAATGCCCCACTAACTCCAAGTCCTCTGAGACAGCATTAGCTTGGGTTCCAGAGATTCAAATGCCGCCTGTCTTGACAGGGACCTTGATGTGTTTATCTGCAGGGTCCCCTTAAAGCACACTTCCCCACCTGCTGTTGATGAGGGACAATTTAGTAATAGGTGAGACTTACAGACTTTTCCCTCTGTTCTTCAAAGACAAGTGTGAAGTTTTGATTCAGCAACTATGTACAAGCATCCAACAATGTCCTGATGCTTACTCCTTGACTTTTAGGAGTGCATGGAGAGTAGACCTCATCAGAATGGAAAAAGGATTGGGACCGTGCTGAGCAGGCAGTACCAGCTTGTGCTTCTGTGATGCCAGCATGACTATATATTGGGTGGAGACTTTATTGGGATGCATCACTAGGTCTAGATATAAGGAAAGAATAGTCCGTTGAAGCACATTATAATTTTTCACTTTTTACTCATTTGAGTATGAAACACAACTGTTAGGAGAACAATGTCTTCCTAGTGGTGATTTTTCCCCACAATAGACACCATTGGCTTTGGAGGCACCAGGAAAAAGGGTTTGCCATGACTGAACATGAGTACCACATGGTCCTTGTGATGAAATTGGTTTGAAGGAGGCTAAACCCAAGTGTAGTAACAAGTTGGAGGAATGTGTTGAGTCTAGGTCCTGCCAGTTACAACTTGCATAACAGTTTCCTCCGGTTGTATAAGCACTTGTTCCTCCATCCAAGGGGTGTGGGTTCAGAAAGACCCATGGTTTCCATGGGGTAGTGCCTGTGAAGCACAGAGGCTCCTCTCTGAAAGGGTTTTGGTTCCTGGTTGCATACTCCAGCTGTGCTTTCATCTGTCTGACATGCTTGGTTTCCTAGCTCAATTATTCTTTTTTAAATATAAAAATTCTGCTAGATGTGTTGGAATACCATGAGACTACATACTCACCCCACTTTTACTTACTTTAGAGTGAAACATGCTGAGGAGTGTTGAAGTTGGCAGGCTCTTCTCCCTGTAAGTACCCCAAGGGAAAGCAGAGTCCTCCTGGCAATGGAGAACCCTCTCAGTTCGCACTACCTGGTTCAGTGACAGGAATATTAAGACAGCTCTCTGTCCAGTGAGATGGATCACAAGACAAAGTGCTTGCTCCCAAGCCTGATGACTTGAGTTCCATCCCTGGAACCTTCATGGTGGAAAGAGAACCAGTTCCTACAAGTTGCCCTGTGACCTCCACACATATACCCTGGCATGTGGGGTCATATCCCCCCAAACAAGGGGATAAAATAAAACACAATTTAGAGATTATTTTCTGATGTCACTTTTGATTCTTGGGTGGTATTGTCAGACCCATGAATCAATCCACTCAGAGATGGCTCAGTGACCCAGACTAATACATGTACACAGATGACAAAGTAAGTAGCCACCACTCTCTCTAGCAACCAAATGAGCTTAGGGACCATGGAATGTCCTACTGTCACCAGAAACACTGATCCCTGAAAATATCTCAGAAGTTACCAACTCACAAAGAGGGGTACAGTGTCATTACTATCTACACATTTGATGGCTAAATAGTCAACTAGAGAGGCTGTTTAATGACCAGACTGAATTAGGATTAGAAATGATGAGGTTCCAAGAGATCACTCCCTTCATCAAGTCAGAAGACCCCTCCCCGCCAGAGAAGAAACTATAATTCTAGACAAAATTATGAGTTGTGTCTCATGCTTGTGCACACGTGAGCTGCGGTGCAGACAAAACATGTGATCTCACTGGTCTTAGAGATGGTTGCAACATCTCACTGATTCACCCGCCTGCCTGCTCATTCTTACCCTCAGAACCACCCCCTCTGCATTATTTCAGTTTCTTGTGGCTGTAACAAAATACCTGGTAAAGGCCATTGAAGAAAGGAAGAGTTCTCTCCAGTCGCCATTTGAGAATGCAGTCCCTCGTGGTGGAGAAAGCGTGCTAGCCGACGCGTAAGGTGGCTGGTGACACTGCGCCTGCACTAGGGAGCAGAGAAAGACGGACGATGGCACTTAGCTTGCTTTCTCCTTTCCGCCCAGTCAGGCCCCACAGTGCATGGAACGGTACCATCCGTGTTCAGGGGTGGTTTTCTTTCTTCAACCCAACCTGGAAACCCAGGCCCAGATATGCTCACATGCTATTCCAGCCGTGATCCCAGATGCTGTCAAGTTGACAGCATTAACCATCACAGCCCCCAACCCATATCGAGGGGGACTTCATTTTGCTCTTTCTCATTCTAGAAGAAAGATGGATTTTTAGTGCACATGCTGTATTCAGCGCCCGGGGAGCAATATTAGACGTTTCTCTTGCAGAGCTGTCCTTGTACATACCTTATACTTTGCGCTGGCTACAGGGAATGTGTTTGTCCTGGCTTGTGAACAAGACGGCTCCATTTCCTCCTCCGAGCAATAGCACGAGCTAGACTGAACATGAATGTCATTTTCTTCCTGTCTGGACTAGATGTCATGCCAGGACTGAAGAGAGGTCTCTCCCCCAACACAGGTATCCCCATCATCCTACTGTTGGCTCCCTCTCCCTGTCCCCCTCCCAAGAACTTGTCTACACTTAGCTTGGCGCCAGCAAGGCTTCATTCTTCCACACCATGATCCTCATAGGCCAGTACGGTCGTAAACATCGAGTCACTGCCGGCGAGCTTGCATGCCGAAGGGAATAGCCAGTGGTGTGAAGATGACCTCATAGAAAGTGGATGCCAAATAGAGGCAGTGGCTGCTACTGGCAGGGAAAATAGGCAGAGACAAAGAGCAGAGGGGACATCTTGGAAAGGAGAGACCAAGGCTGTGCTGCGTGCATGCATGTACTCCCAGGGTCAGAGGAACTGAGGCAGGAGGATCACATTTATGTCCACAGATTCAAAATCCGTGTGGGAAGGGGGTGTCAGAGTAAGACCTCCATCTCAAAATAAGGAAGAAAAGAAGGATGGGAAGGGAGGAGGGAGGGAGGGGAGGACGGAGGGAGGAAAAGGAGAAGGGGAGGAGAGGAAGGGAGGAGGAGGGAGAGAGGAAAAGAAGAGGGAAGAAGGGAGGGGCGGGGAGAGGGAGGGAAGGAGAGAGGGAGGGAGGAAAAGGAGACAGAGGAAGGAGGGAAATAGAGACAGGGGAGAAAGAGAAGGAAAGAAAGATGGACAGATGGAGGGAAGGAATAAAGGGAAGGAGGTCTGGTTGGTCTTTGGGGACTGAGCTGAGCTTTTCATGTGTATCCACACGGGTTAGATTTGATAGTGGTCACACTGACAGTCAGGCTGGATGGCTGAAGGGGAGAACCGAATCTTATCCCATCTTCTCTGAGTCATAAGAACGATGTTGGGGGGGGGCTGTATTTGCCGAGTTACATCACATGGTGAGCGAAGGTGGTCAGAGTGTAAGCGGGTATGAAATGTTGAGTTTTCTTTGGGATTCCCCCTAAAAGTACGAAGAAAGCAGTTTGCTGGTTGGTGCTCAAATAGTTTAAAAAAGAGGAAAATTGAGGATCTCAGCATGGAAATTCTTCTCAGGAGGAAGGTCAAGTTCGGTGGCAAAGTCCCTATTGCAAAAGTCCCCTGGTGTGAAATGACAGACCCATCACATGGCATGGCTGGGTTATCAGCCTGTGTGCTAACAGGGGCAAGAAGCGAGCCAGAGGTGAGACAAAGACTTCAAGGGGAATTTTGCCTGCTTACAGACTCCAGTGGAGCTGAGTTTCAGGGACTGTCCCTTCTGATTATAAATGCTGAGAGTCAGGGAGTGGTTGAGAGGCTGAGGAAGGCTAGGTGCTGAATTGCAAAGCATGTCTAAGCATTCTTGTGTGCATGCATGCATGCATGCCTGCGTGTGTGTATACCTGCACATAGGGTGCACATACACGGATATGCGTGTGTCTACATATGTGTGTAGGTATAGAGAAACTTTCCACGCAGGCATGGTTAGAAACTTAGGACCCCCTGGAAATGCTGGCTCTGCTCAGGCTGACTGAGACTGATTCTGCATAAAATAAAGCACAATAAATCAAGTGTCACAAACAAAGCATACTCAAAATATCTTTTCAAATAAGGCGTTGCTTCCCCAGGCAAAGGTTTTGATGCAGAAATAGTGCCTCTCCTCTGTGTGTGTTATCAGTTTGCTTTTATTGCCATGGTATTTATCTGATTTTTGTTATTGATTTTTTTGGTGGGGAGGGGGTTACATGTACCTCTTCTGCTGATCTACACATCTACAACCTAAGTGGTTTACTATGAAGGGGCAGTTTCTATGTGTGGATCCTGTCTTACCTATCAGTAGCAAACCTAGCGACCAGAACCAAAACCGAGAACTGAGAGAGAAAATGTACATTTATTTTCTAGTCTGGAGTAGCTTTCTCCTCTTTCCTCCTGAACCTCAGAGTGACCAGAAGATTCCCGGGTCACAGAGACTTAATATGCGGCTACCTATATGAAATGCTTAACTGAGGAACAAGCCACAGGTTGAAATGCAATTAACAGAGTCTATACAACCAGGGTCCCCTCCATGCAAGTCCAACAGGAGGAGGAGACCTAGAGACAAAGCCATTCTAAGTGTGTGAGCCTAATTAACTGCTTTACAGACCTTTGGTAAAGCCCAGACTCGTCATTGAAGCTGAGACAGCAGTGTCTCACAGAATTAACTGCTAACTCAGCAGGGTCGGCCTTGTGCGTGCTTGACTGGACTTCGGGCCCTGCTAAAAGTGAGTGGATCCTTTCAGAACCACAGAAAGGAGCTTGTGGTTCGGTGACTGACCGTGACAGGTGATCCGTGTGTTCTCAACACCTTGCTATTATTCTTGCTGTCATTCCCTCAAACAGCAAGGCACATGTTCGCCTTATGGCCCCCATTCTTACTTGCTTTTTACCTGAATTCTTGATCTCCACCTACCCCCTCTGTCCGGTCCTTAAGCCTTGTCAAGATCAGGTCATACATCTTTTTAAAGTGAAAACACCCCCACGGCCTGAAACCACATACTCCTTGCTTGGCAGTTTCTTGAGGTTCCGTTTATCAATTGTTGATCTCAGTACTTGTACAAATGGTGTTGTGTTCACAAAGAGCAAAGAGAGAGAAAAGGTATGGATTTAGAGAAATTGTAATCAAAGTTTATATTAAGAAAAAAATCCATTTTCAATTTAAAAGAAGAAAAGATGGGCAGGGATATTTTCTGATATTGAAGAGAAGCAGGCAGAGCCTTTTATGCTCTGTGAGCGCTGACTTTCTTATACTAAAGTCTCTAGAAGCAGTGGGAATGTGAATCCAACTGCCATTTTGTAGCTGTGTAGAGATGGTACCCTCTGCCCATCTTGTGTGTGGGGTTCTTCTGGTCCTTGTTCTTCCTGTCTTCTTCTCTAGGCTCATGGAAGCTCTAAGACCATTTGGCCTCCTCAGCTCCTGCTAATCCCAGAGACTGCTTGGTGTTATTGTGACTCCCCATTCATTCACCATACACCCAGGCTGGAAGCTCTTCCCTGGTTCATAGTTGCTGGCAATGGAGTGAAGGGCATGCCACCCCTAAATATGTCACTTTAGATTCCTGAGTGCTGCAGAGATAGCTCAGTGGTTAAGATAGCAGACTGCTCTTACAGAGACACCAGTTCAGTTCCTAGCACGCATGTCTGGCTCACAACCACCTATAACTCCAGCTCCAGAGGATACAATATTCCTGGCTCTACAGATGTTGACACTCATGTGCACATGCTCCCCTTCCCAGAAACATATAAGTTCATATACATACATATATATATTATAGGTTTAATTAAATGCACAAATATTTAATTAAAACCAAAATCTTTAAGAAGCACAGTTAAAATCTATATTCCTATGTATTGACTGCAGAAATTCCCATGTGTGTGTGTGTACATGCACATATATATGTGTGTGTGTGTGTGTGTGTGCATGCATGTTTGCTGTGTTTATGTGTAAAGTGTGTTTGTGTGTGTGTGTGTACACTTGTATACTCAGGTGCTTGTGCACATATGTTGAGGAAATAATTTCTCAGGTGCAGTCCATCTTGTTTACTCTAGCCCATGGCTCACCAAGCAGGCTACTCTGGCTGCCCAGAGAACTGCAGGAAAATAACTATTTCTGTCTCCCAAGTGCTGGGTTAACAACACACCTAAATATATTATGTGGATTCTGGGGATCAAACTCAGATCCTGATACTTGTAAAGCAAGCACTTGACTAAACATGCCATCGCCTTAGCCCTTACTACAGAAATGTGGAATGAATGCCAAGTCTAACGCAAAGAAACATGAACTACTTATCCTGGCAGGTCAAACAGATGACTTTTAGAATGATATGACTACATTCTGTCACACTACATACAGTCCAGATTTTGTCAAGGCTGAGGCAACCCCATAACTCTCATTGCTCAACTATCTTTCCCCAGAGGTCCAAATTTCTGCCTGAGATCATTATGAGCTAAGTTAGGAAAGGCAAGGAGATTTCTAAACTAAGTCTTGGAGTCTGTAGGAGTGCTCTGGGAGCCAGAGAAATGGAGTTACACGGTATCCAGATATGTGGCATAGAGCTCAATAGTTCATTGATTTATGCTGGCATCACTTGCCTATAGCCAAAGGCCTTTGAATATTATTTGTATTGATTGCACACCACTGATGACAAGAGAGGGATGAAATGGATGGCAGATGTCCAAGCCCCAAATTAAAGAACGGGGTCTATGCACATCACCTGCAAATGCCTCTGGTTAGCCAGAGACTCGGCTAAGGAGAAAATCAGAACACTCACAAACTCATGTCAGCAATCAGCACAAAGAGACAAGCGGGCAAGCAGAATGAATCCCAATGGTACCTGGATCCATAGCTGGGTGAACCCACCCCTTCAGAAACCTGCCTTGGTTTTGGCCTATGAGGCACATTCTTGGAAGGTGAGTGTATAAGATATTTAGACACTGTCGGTATAAGCAGCAGGGCAGATAGCAGAGGTGAGTGGAGGAGGGCGATGCTTCCTGGAACGGAGTCCTAGGGTTATACATGTGGAATTCCACACCCAGTTTATGTGGACCTGGGAATCAAACCCAGGGCACCGAGTATGCCAGGCAAATGCTCTGCCCACTTAGCTGTATCAGCAGCCCCACCAGAGGTTTAGGGAATTTTCCCCCTACATAGGGCCCCCGGGGTAAATATAGAAGACCTGGATATTTGAAAGAGATATTAAGCCATCAGATTGGGGATATGACACATGATCTTGGTCCTAGTATATGTCTCTAAATAACAAACAACTCATGGAATGTACCACCATTCAAAGCCACTGGAAACAAACCTCTCTCTACACTTGAGGTACTAGCCAACTCAGTCTTGACTCAGTCTGAGCATTCTAAACACTTAAACTAGACCTGTCTCGGAGCATCTCCTGTCCTACTGACACCAAGGCAGTAACAGTCAGGGCAGAAGCTTTACTTGATTGTCTTCTCAAGTTCTTAGCCTCCATATAAGTGCCCCACCCTCCCTACCAAGACATGGGGTGTATGGCAAATGATCTGAAAATTATGCAACTCCTTCATTGTACATGAGATTTTAGGGTTTTGTTGGTGGTGGTCAAACAGTTCCTCAGCTACTTTTTATGCTTTTTGCAAGAAGTTATATTCAAGACAAAAAAACGAGGACTGTGGCTATGCTGCCCACCTGGTCCTAAGGGCTACACCACACAGGATGAATCTAGGATTGGATCCTGTGCAAGTGAGTTGGGAGCGTGGCCAGGCATGAGAAGTCCATCAGTGACCTGGCTTATGTTTCTGCAGGTCTGCTTTGTTTTCTCATTCAATAAACAACATTAAATGGCAATAGATGGATGCCACTACATATATTAAGGAGGACGCACACCAGAGAGAAAGAGAAAGAAAAAGGGGGAAAGAAAGGAAAATAGGAAGAGACATACGGAGACAAAGTACCTGAGAAATTATCTGTCTTTCCATAATAACACATTTCTGTGTGTTTGAGTGTCTGTGCTCACTCACTTGTATATGTTTCCATGTGTGTAC